CTCAATCACCGGAGATGAGAGTAATCGGCGCTGCTAGAAGTAATAGGCTAATATAATTAGGAATCTACCTGATAGATATTTAGGAATCTGCCTAATATCTATTTAGGAATACCTTGTATTTTGGCAACTCCTCTATTATAAATATATCTGTCAGGACTCCTATTGGAGTACCTCTTTCCCATTATTTCACATGGTATCAAGAGCTCTAGGTTTGTAAATACAATTTTTTTCTTTTTTCGGTTCCCATGAACCTTATTATAGCCGCCGCCTCGGGGTCGACTGCCGCCACATTTACGGTAGTCTCCAATCCTTTGAAGATGAGCGCGGCTAATATGGCGCAGATCACCTCCTTCGCGTCGCTGAACACGGCGCTTGCTTCCAGCGTGTCGTTGAGTTCGCCGCCTGCTGCTGCCTATGTCCGCGCAGGCCACCTTCTCTACGTCGCTGACCACGGTGCTTGCTTCAAGCGCGCTGTTGAGTTCGCCGCTTGCTGCTGCAGACATATATTCTCATGGAGATCTTATTGTCAAAGATGTGCCTTCTAATCTTCCGCTCACGAATATATTTACTAAGAGTTTTTTTTAGTTTGTAATTTCATTTTTTTAAAAGACAACATGCGCGTTGTATCTCCCGCACAGTTTGAGGGGGTGTAATAGACTAATATAATTAGGAATCTACCTAATAGATATTTAGGAATCTGCCTAATATCTATTTAGGAATACTTTGTATTTTGGCAACTCCTCTATTATAAATATATCTGGCAGGACTCCTATTGGAGTACCTCTTTCCCATTATTTCACAGTATTCGGTCCATTAAGGAGTCGGTAGGTGCTACAGTTTTGGATGAATGGGATGTGGACCTAGCAATTCAAGAAATAAGTTGATGATCGGTGAAGCTGTACGGATCTGAACTACTTTGCATGGAGGAAAGAAATAAGTTGTGGGTGAGGCCAAGAGGTTGGATACTCTACCCATTGGGGAGAATCAATGCTGAATGCAATTCTAGAATTTTGTAGGTCATCCTTTCTTTTGGATTATTTTCGGTCCCAGATCAGACCAGACCAGATCAGACCAGACTTCCATAGTTATAAAATACACAGAGATTAGACGTTTACTAGACCAGATCAAATTAGATCAAGGAAATGACGGAGTTACACGTTTTCATGTCGTCCTTCTCAAAACACGGGGCTGATTTATTACACTCCCTCGGTTCTTTGTTGTCCCTCTAACCTTGGGCACAATATTAAAGAGAAAAATACGGAGTAATACTTTATGTAAGTATATGCGTAGAGCAAATAATATACGGAGTACCTTAATATAGGAAAGAAGGTATATTAAAAACAGTTAAATGATGACAGAATAGGAAAGATAGTATGTTAAGTAGAGTAAAATGATGATAAAGTAAGAAAGAGAAAGTAGTTTTTATAATGTAAGAAGGATAAAAGTACTAAAAGTAAGAGTTTTATAAAAAAAACTTTCCAGAAACAGAAAGAAGGACATTTAATTAAAAAAACAAATGAAAATGGAGAGCTCATTTAGTAGCACGAAAATCGGCTTATTTGATTGATTTTGCTGAAACTTATGCAGTTCCGGCTGAAGTGACTGCATTAGCTGATTCTGCTGACTTAAGAAAAAGAGTTGATTTTTTTTATCATATATTTTATTAATAAAATAAAATGATCATCTACAGTAATTCAGCCAATACAGTTAGAAAAGTAACTACAACCTTACTTTTTCTACTTATTACACAGTTCAGTTGCGAAAAAATTGGCTTATAAGCCTAATAAGTCGAAAAACAGTATTGTCAAACGACCTTGGAATAAGAGACATATAGTAAAGAACATAGGGAGTATGAAAAAAAATCGATCTGAAAAGCCCTATTCCAACCCAATTTTGAAAAGGGTGGGGGCCAAGCAAAAAGTAAGAAACCTATTTTTCTTTAAATTGTTCTAATTTTCTTACATGTATTCTCATTTTTATAAATACATATATAAAAATTCATACTCCCTCACTATTTAAAAGAACCATACATAAGGTTATGGCACAAGTTTTAAGAGAGAATAGTAGGGATAATGAATAATATAGAAAAAGTATGAGAGAATGTCAAAAAGTAGGAAAGAGAGGATAAAAAGTAGAAAAAGTAAGGGTAATTGAGTATTTTTAAAAGAAAAATTTACCAAAAAGGGAAAGTGTATGGAACTTTTATATACACCCCAAAAAGAAAAGTGTATGAAACTTTTAAATACGGAGGGAGTGACTTTTTATGAGCTTTTATATAACACCAATATTAAATACACAAATTTTAACTTTTTTTGGTTTGAAACCCTTCCCCAGTTGAAACTTTAATTTTAGAACTATATATGTGTGTGTGTGTGTATAATATGGTGTCATATGAAAGATTATAAAAAGTTACGAATTTTAATATATTTTTTGTAAAAATTAGAATATACTGGCTCCCTCCGTTTCGCAAACAAAGTCACACTTTCCTTTTTTGGATGTTTAAAAAACAAAGTCACACTACCCTTGTTTTCTTATTTGGCAAAGAAATCTACTTCAAAACAGTGTCAAACAATGCCAAATAGTGTTTTCTACAGTAAAGACAATTTATTTCCTTAATCCTAGAGAAGTCAAACCGTGACTATCTTTGTAAAACGGATGGAGTATATAAAAGGTTAAAACACTTTAAATAATAATCATGTTTATGTATTGCATGGATCCCTCATGTTTATATTTTGCATGGATCCCTCATGTTTATATTTTGCATGGATCCCATTTCTTTTCACTTCGAGTACCTTCATCCGATTCACTTCTTATATTTAATTTTTTTTTCTATACACAATACCCTATTTACTTCCAATAATAACATGTTAGTTATAAAAACTATTAATACCATATTATTATTTTGGAAAAAAATATTATACCGTGCATCGCACGGGTGATATACTAGTATAGGCTTAAATGAGGTCTAACAGTCCTAACGGAGATCAAACGGAAAGCATAGAAACGAAAGGTTTTGACTTTACAGGACAACATAAATAGCATAGAGTACAACTAAGAGCCTGTTTGGTAGCACGACAATAAGATGTTTTGGTTGATTCTGCTGAAATTTATGAAGTTCTGGCTGAAGTGACTGCATTGACTGATTCTGCTGATTTAAGAAAAAAATATTTTTAAAATATATTTTATTAATAAAATAAAGAAAAAATTATATGTAAAAATAGCTAAAATGGTCATGTACAGTAACTTCAGCCAATACAGCCTGAAAAGTAACTTCTACCTTACTTTTTTTGCTTATTACACAATTCAGTGTGCGAAAGCAAAAATTACGCGTTTGGTGGAAAAGTTGGCTGATAAGCCTGATAAACCAAAAAACAGTGTTACCAAACGGCATCTAAATATTGTCTTATGTTACACCAAGACATTTTACATTCCTAAATAGCCCTAACCCTCATTCACCTTTATAAGTTTGTATGTATGTATTGTAGATTGTAGAGTGTTTGCAACAACTTAAAAAAAGCACTTCTCAGCTTTTGGCTTAAAAAAGGGTTTAATGCACCAAACCCCCTCGGGAAATATAAATTCGGCGCATTAGCCCCCTGTGATTTAAAAAATGCGTCAAACCCCCTTGTGTTATAATTAATCATGCGCCAAAACCCCTCCAAGAACAAATTTTACAATTTTGAAATCAATTTTTTTTTAATAATATAATTGGATATGCACGTAACTTTTTTAAAATATCTAAATTCTATAAAAGAAACTAATCATTTTTTATTTTTTGGAAATTAAATTTGTTCTTGGAGGGGGTTTGGCGCATGATTAATTATAACACAGGAGGGTCTGACGCGATTTTTAAATCACAGAGGGCTAATGCGCCGAATTTATATATCATTAGGAGGTTTGGTGCATTAAACCCGCTTAAAAAACACTTATTTGCCAAACACTACTAATTTTTACTTTTTCTCGGTTTGCGTGTGAAAAGTGTTTTTTCCTTTTCTATTATACAAAAAAGCACTTATTTTACCAAACACTACCAACTTTTATTTTTCATCTTTTTTTTCTCAAACACTACCGATACTCACAGACCAACATCCCAAAGTAGGAGTGAGATTTTGAAACCAGGAACCGTAGAACCGATTGGAACCGAACTGTTAACAACATCTAGGAACCGAACCGTTAACAACTAATGTCTCATTTGCACGAACCGAACCAAAGCGGGTTATAACGGTTTGGTTCCCGGTTCCTATAAAAAAATATGTGCATAGAACCGTTAAGGAACCGTTATTAAAAAAAATAAAAAATAAAATAATAATATTAGTAGTAGTAACAATAATAATAATAGTAATAATAATAATAATAATAATAATGATAATAATAATAATAATAATAATAATAATAATAATAATAATAATAATAATAATAATAATAATAATAATAATAATAATAATAATAATAATAATAATAATAATAATAATAATAATAATAATAATAATAATAATAATAATAATAATAATAATAATAATAATAATAATAATAATAATAATAATAATAATAATAATAATAATAATAATAATAATAATAATAATAATAATAATAATAATAATAATAATAATAATAATAATAATAATAATAATAATAATAATAATAATAATAATAATAATAATAATAATAATAATAATAATAATAATAATAATAATAATAATAATAATAATAATAATAATAATAATAATAATATAATAGCAATAATAACCATCACCACAACAACATTAATGTTGAGGTTTATTCCTTCAACCCTCGGGTTCAACACGTAAGCCCAAGGATTTCGAGTGGAGTGTGAATGAAAATCTAGCCCAACAAGCAGATGATATGGATCAAAGAGAACAAGAAGTAGCAAGTAAGTGATTAGGTATTATTATCTCTTAATAACTCCCTAATACAATACTTTTGCTAAGGCTCCGTCGGCCGTTCGTCTTACAATGCAGTAGAAGTGCTGCGAGTAAGAAAGCTATAGCTAGAGTGCTAAGAATAGAAAGTTGTCAACCCTTTACAATGAAATAAATGCTTCTATTTATACCCGCCAATGTGCAGGTGGTTGTACTGACGTGGAAGCCCGTGGTTCACTGGTGTCCCAACCACCAAATCTTCAGCATTAAATGCACTTCCCGCCAGAATCTAGGTTTCCCGCCTAATTAGTGGGGACGTTCGTCTGCCTGGGGAGCGAGCTGGATCGCTCCAGGTGGCCCCCAGAGGTATTGGCCGTTCGTCCACTGGCCTTTGTGGATCCTTGCCATGTGGACTGGATTGCCTCTGATGGCTATGGGCTTGCTCTGACGACGTTCGTCGTCATTCTGGTGACCCGTGGTCCTGCTCCTTGTCCCTGCATAGACGTTCGTCGAGATGGGCCGTTGAGCCTAGACCCCCAACTGCAGACGTTCGTCCCTCCTGGAGGAACATGGGCCTGCCAGGCTAGCTTTGTGTTCTACCTGGACGTACGTCTGGTAAAAGGGGTGAATGGGCCGGACCCTGACTTTGGGCCATTAACCCAACAATTAATAAAACAATATAAGATATTTAACTAACAATTTTAATTTAATCAACGGAAAAGAAGTAATAAATATTGTACATGATGTTGATATAATATATTAAACTCCTTTCTACAAATCAAGTTTTGTTCCATCACATAAATTTTATAAATATAAAATAACCCAAATAACTTGTAGTTGATTGCACATATTTTACTTTACTATTTTCATGATATTTCTAATTATTAGATTTATTATGAATCAATAGAATGTAATAATGTTTTTTATTTCTATACATGCAAATTCAATGTCTTTTTTTTTATGTTTTGAACGTCTTGAAGTAGGCGTCCTATTCTTGCTACTATGATGACGAGTAATCTTCATCGCTCCGACACTACAACGATTTTTAATGTTTCATTTATTACATGAAAATTTAACTCACTTTTGTTCTATTAAGTGTTCAAAGTTCATTAGTTAAGTTTGAGCTTTGATGTTTGAAGCGATTAGAGTTGTTTAAAATTATGTTTTAATTCTTACACGAGAAAAAATTATTCTTGAAACCGGTAAAAGGAAGAACCGAACCGTTTACTACCGGTTCGGTTCCATAACGATTCTTGATTTTTTATATAGGAACCGAACCGATTTTCGTTAGTTAAAACTTTTATAACCATTCGCTCATTTGATTTTGAGTAAGAACAGAACCTGTCCCACCCTATCCCAAAGTCGAGACTTTGTACGTTCATCTTCTCCGATCCAGCAGTCGGCCTGGGCGACGGCGTACCACTGGTAGAAATCCAGGGGCAGTGGCTTGAAGTTGGTGGCTTGAAATCCACCGTCGGGTCCTCTCACCCCTATTCACAGAATCTGCTGCGGCGGTAAGCAGCCAAGAGGATGCCGGACGCCGGCCAGTGATTTCCAGTCACTGCTCATATGTGATAGGGAAGAGCAACTCTAGAATTCATACAATCATTTCCAAGCTTCAAGGTAACTCCGATTCTCAGAAATTTCAGAATGAATATATTTGTGAATACTTTGTTAAATACGTTTGTTAATATATTTATGATTAGTTTGAAAGAATGTGCTCGGAATGAATATACGGTGAGAATAAATATTGATTACTTTGTGAATGAAAGGAAATTGTATATTTGTATTAATAAATACATTTAGAAAGACTGTGTTTCTAGAAAAACCAAAAGATATGGATCCCAAATTCCAAAAGTCCAACTCTGTTTTGTTCACCGGATCTAAAAAAAAATACAACCTTGACTAAAATCCTAAAATGGTTCTTTCGTTTGTGGCTTTGCATTCTGTGGGTTTTTTGCTATATTCATTATGTGTTTTTTTTGCTCAAAAATTGTGAGGCTTCCCAGGAAAACTAATCACTGGTAAGATATGATCTATGAGTCTATGTAATAATAGAATGGATTTTAATGGGAATTTGTTATCTAAATTATTAATATTATAATAGATGTGATTGATGTACTGATACTAGTGAGGATTATAATAGATTTTTGGGAGTTATTATTAAAATGCTAATCATTAGTTGTGCTAAATTGCTAATATAGATTTTGTGTGATTATGTAGATGTGGAAGACACAAATTGCTTTACCTAGGAAGTTGTTTATGTTACTTGAAGATGTAGATTGGAATTCTATATTCGATCACAATGTCAAAGTCTAAATACTTTGTGTTGAAGGGGAGAGCTTTTTTATTGTGAACTGTTTGAACTTTGAAGTACTTTGAACTGTTTGAACAGAGTAATAGACGCCATTAGGAGGTATAGGACTCCCACAGAGTAATAAAACAGTCCAGCCGTCGGACAGCTGGACTGTTTTCATCCTCGCCGCATTGTTCTGTCTGGCAGATGACAACGAGCTGCAGGTGGTTGCGGTACTAGCGTGGTCTTATCAGCGCCAGGTAGTAAATTGGCAGTTCCCAAATTTCGAACGTCCAAGCAGCGGCCGATGGCTCTGTCCCACATCAAAGCCGCCGTGGCAGCCAAGCAAATCCGCCACGCTCGCACGTTTGTGAACGCCAAGGTGAAGTGGGTCAGGGACCCTTACCTCGACACGGCAGTGGAGAATGAGAAGAACCTCAAACCCTTACTCACTCTCAAATCATTGATCCTCTCCCAACCCTCTAAAACCCTACCGCTCCGAACTATCTCCCCGTTGAAGAGTAAGAAAGCTATAGCTAGAGTGCTAAGAATAGAAAGTTGTCAACCCTTTACAATGAAATAAATGCTTCTATTTATACCCGCCAATGTGCAGGTGGTTGTACTGACGTGGAAGCCCGTGGTTCACTGGTGTCCCAACCACCAAATCTTCAGCATTAAATGCACTTCCCGCCAGAATCTAGGTTTCCCGCCTAATTAGTGGGGACGTTCGTCTGCCTGGGGAGCGAGCTGGATCGCTCCAGGTGGCCCCCAGAGGTATTGGCCGTTCGTCCACTGGCCTTTGTGGATCCTTGCCATGTGGACTGGATTGCCTCTGATGGCTATGGGCTTGCTCTGACGACGTTCGTCGTCATTCTGGTGACCCGTGGTCCTGCTCCTTGTCCCTGCATAGACGTTCGTCGAGATGGGCCGTTGAGCCTAGACCCCCAACTGCAGACGTTCGTCCCTCCTGGAGGAACATGGGCCTGCCAGGCTAGCTTTGTGTTCTACCTGGACGTACGTCTGGTAAAAGGGGTGAATGGGCCGGACCCTGACTTTGGGCCATTAACCCAACAATTAATAAAACAATATAAGATATTTAACTAACAATTTTAATTTAATCAACGGAAAAGAAGTAATAAATATTGTACATGATGTTGATATAATATATTAAACTCCTTTCTACAAATCAAGTTTTGTTCCATCACATAAATTTTATAAATATAAAATAACCCAAATAACTTGTAGTTGATTGCACATATTTTACTTTACTATTTTCATGATATTTCTAATTATTAGATTTATTATGAATCAATAGAATGTAATAATGTTTTTTATTTCTATACATGCAAATTCAATGTCTTTTTTTTTATGTTTTGAACGTCTTGAAGTAGGCGTCCTATTCTTGCTACTATGATGACGAGTAATCTTCATCGCTCCGACACTACAACGATTTTTAATGTTTCATTTATTACATGAAAATTTAACTCACTTTTGTTCTATTAAGTGTTCAAAGTTCATTAGTTAAGTTTGAGCTTTGATGTTTGAAGCGATTAGAGTTGTTTAAAATTATGTTTTAATTCTTACACGAGAAAAAATTATTCTTGAAACCGGTAAAAGGAAGAACCGAACCGTTTACTACCGGTTCGGTTCCATAACGATTCTTGATTTTTTATATAGGAACCGAACCGATTTTCGTTAGTTAAAACTTTTATAACCATTCGCTCATTTGATTTTGAGTAAGAACAGAACCTGTCCCACCCTATCCCAAAGTCGAGACTTTGTACGTTCATCTTCTCCGATCCAGCAGTCGGCCTGGGCGACGGCGTACCACTGGTAGAAATCCAGGGGCAGTGGCTTGAAGTTGGTGGCTTGAAATCCACCGTCGGGTCCTCTCACCCCTATTCACAGAATCTGCTGCGGCGGTAAGCAGCCAAGAGGATGCCGGACGCCGGCCAGTGATTTCCAGTCACTGCTCATATGTGATAGGGAAGAGCAACTCTAGAATTCATACAATCATTTCCAAGCTTCAAGGTAACTCCGATTCTCAGAAATTTCAGAATGAATATATTTGTGAATACTTTGTTAAATACGTTTGTTAATATATTTATGATTAGTTTGAAAGAATGTGCTCGGAATGAATATACGGTGAGAATAAATATTGATTACTTTGTGAATGAAAGGAAATTGTATATTTGTATTAATAAATACATTTAGAAAGACTGTGTTTCTAGAAAAACCAAAAGATATGGATCCCAAATTCCAAAAGTCCAACTCTGTTTTGTTCACCGGATCTAAAAAAAAATACAACCTTGACTAAAATCCTAAAATGGTTCTTTCGTTTGTGGCTTTGCATTCTGTGGGTTTTTTGCTATATTCATTATGTGTTTTTTTTGCTCAAAAATTGTGAGGCTTCCCAGGAAAACTAATCACTGGTAAGATATGATCTATGAGTCTATGTAATAATAGAATGGATTTTAATGGGAATTTGTTATCTAAATTATTAATATTATAATAGATGTGATTGATGTACTGATACTAGTGAGGATTATAATAGATTTTTGGGAGTTATTATTAAAATGCTAATCATTAGTTGTGCTAAATTGCTAATATAGATTTTGTGTGATTATGTAGATGTGGAAGACACAAATTGCTTTACCGAGGAAGTTGTTTATGTTACTTGAAGATGTAGATTGGAATTCTATATTCGATCACAATGTCAAAGTCTAAATACTTTGTGTTGAAGGGGAGAGCTTTTTTATTGTGAACTGTTTGAACTTTGAAGTACTTTGAACTGTTTGAACAGAGTAATAGACGCCATTAGGAGGTATAGGACTCCCACAGAGTAATAAAACAGTCCAGCCGTCGGACAGCTGGACTGTTTTCATCCTCGCCGCATTGTTCTGTCTGGCGGATGACAACGAGCTGCAGGTGGTTGCGGTACTAGCGTGGTCTTATCAGCGCCAGGTAGTAAATTGGCAGTTCCCAAATTTCGAACGTCCAAGCAGCGGCCGATGGCTCTGTCCCACATCAAAGCCGCCGTGGCAGCCAAGCAAATCCGCCACGCTCGCACGTTTGTGAACGCCAAGGTGAAGTGGGTCAGGGACCCTTACCTCGACACGGCAGTGGAGAATGAGAAGAACCTCAAACCCTTACTCACTCTCAAATCATTGATCCTCTCCCAACCCTCTAAAACCCTACCGCTCCGAACTATCTCCCCGTTGAAGCCCCAGCTAAGGCTCCCAACCACCGCATTGACATTCATCCAGAGGTACCCTTATGTTTTCAAGATTTTCCGGCCTCCAAACAGCCGGCTATCTACTCCTCACGTGAAACTCACTCCAAAGGCTCTTTCCTTACACAACGATGAAACACTGATTACAGGCCTTTCATTATACCAGAAAGACGTTGCAGAACGGCTCACGAAGCTCTTGATGCTAGCTAGAGCTAGGAGACTCCCTCTGGATGTGATTGACAAGTTTAGGTTTGATTTGGGCCTGCCCTATGATTATATACTCAGTTTTCTACCTGAATTTCCGGACTATTTTCAGATTTGTGACATGGGATTTAAGGATCCATCTTCATCTGGTCCTCCAGTGTTCGGACTGGAATTGGTTAAATGGAGAGATGATTTAGCAGTTTCGGTCATGGAAGAAAGAGTGAGGAGTGAGGTTTCTGAGAATGGAAAGGGAGGGCACATTAGGTTTTCAATTAATTTACCAGGAGGGTTTGATTTGCAAAAGAGGGTGGCAAATTGGGTTGAAGAGTGGCAAAACTTGCCTTACATTTCTCCATATGAGGATGCTTTTCATTTGAATCCGAGCAGCGATCAGGCAGAGAAATGGGCAGTTGCTGTGATCCATGAAATGCTTAGTTTGCTAGTGTCAAAGAAGACAGAGAAGGAGAATGTTTATTCTCTTGGGGACTGTTTGGGGTTTGGGATGAGATTCAAAAAGGCTTTGGTGCATCATCCAGGGATATTTTACGTTTCTAATAAAATTAGTACACAGACTGTAGTTCTAAGGGAAGCTTTTAAGAAGAATTTCTTAACAGAGAAGCATCCATTGATAAGTATGAGATACAAATGCATATATCTAATGAACTTAGTGTTAAGAAGAGGCATTCCCATACATGCTGGAGCGTTACGGTATAGGAAACGCTTGGCCTCTATTAAAGGGCGGAACTTTGGGGCAAAGAAAAAGATCCGAAAACTAGCAAAGACAGATGGTGACTTTTACAGTAATGATGATTAAAATCGTACAACAGAGGAAGAAGTGGGTAATAGAGGTAGTGGCTTGCCAAAAAGTTGGCTGGATCTCTGATTCTAAGACTGTAAGGAGGTTGCTGGTGATATGATTCCAGAGGTTGTTATTGAGCAAGGTATGTTTACCCTAGTAACTATTTATCTTGAAGTGTCATGAATACTTTTTATAGCCTAGAAAGTTTTATTGTATATCCTGTTCTGCTATGACTAGAATCTGTACCAGTTTAAGTTTATTATGAATGTCTTGTCGATTATTTTGCTACCTAAAAACCTTTTTGGGATCAAATAATCATTAATCCAATAGGGCATAAGTAACTAACATCTTCTGGTTGTGGTTGTAAAAGTAGGGTCACTAAGGTGTGAAGTCTTGCAGGAAATAATCTGCAAGACTGCTATTCATGTGTTATGCACCAATTGTTGGTGAAGTGGTGGAGTTTGATTTAGTAGATGATGATTCACGATTGTACAGGTTTACAGTATAAGACAAAGTGTCTGTTCTGTAAATGCTTGGCATTGATGAAACTGCTAGATTTTATCGAAGAGAAAGTGCTTTATAGTAGAATCATTTCAACTAATTAGCTAAAAAAGTTAAAGCTACTTGGGGCTACCAAAAAGAGCCACAGATGTATTGCTATCCCCAAGCATGTTATAAAATACGAAGCTTAGGAAGATTCCAATCTGATGTTGAGAGTGTGAGAAAGTCAATCCCTAGTAGATGATAATAGTCACTGTTCAATTTGACCCCGGTTAGTGTTCAGGAGAAGATAACACTCCATCAAGGCATCAACTACTAGAATTGATAATCAATGTCCTTTTATTGTGTAGTGTGTACTCATCATGCAAGTGTTTGGCGAAAAGGCATTCAAGAAATTCCGAAAGGGATTCATCTCAATGCACTTCTCAGATCAACACATAGGCTCACACAAGAAGATGTTGATTTTCAAATTTGCGCTCCCCAATGCTAATGACTGATCAGACATGACCCGCCTGATCGCTCTTATGCCTAATTACATTGACTTGATGGGAAAATACAAGTTCAGCTCACATGTAAGTTTTACATCAGATCTTTTGAATCTCAAAATAGCAAACATAGCACATGTTTGGTATGTGTTATTTAGTTAAAATTGCTGAGTTTTATTAAAGTAAAATTGTTTACTACAATTCATAGTAGTCAAGTAAATCAAAAGCTTAGTATTTTGCAAAAGAGAGCCTTACTATTATATTTTCCTCCCTTGTTTCAAACTGCTTTTAGAAATGTGGAAATTAAACCAGGCTCATCCAAAAGCAGAGGCCAAAGCGGATGCATCCCAAGGCAGCTGCAATATTTTTATAAGAATGATAAGAACAGAAAAAATAAAATCAACGGTATGAACCGTTGCCCGATAATCAACGATAAATAAATACCGTTGCCCAGAGCCAAAAGGCTAAACCAACTTTTATTCCAATATTGATTAAGAATGAAGCCTAACAAGGGGTTTAAATACCCATCTACTAACTCTTAAAGTAGGAAACAAAATCCTAGAGATCCTAATCAACTCCAACTAGGAAACAGAATAATAAAGATCCTAATCAACTTCAAATAGGAAAGAAATAATAGAAATCCTAACTAACTCCTAATAGGAAACAAATATTAGAAATCATAATTAACTCCTAATAGGAAACAAATCAGGAAAATTAAAAAGAATAATTATTAATTAAACAGCCCATAACCAGCCCACGGAGGTAGGCTCAAGCCCGTCCCGCCTTCGGTAAACCCACGGGGGCTTCTTCCCCTCTTCTTCGAAGCCCAGATTCTGCTTCATATCAATTCCATCCCTCTTCAAAAAAACCTTGTCCTCAAGGCTGAAATCCGGAAACCGGCTCATATTTGTCCCCGGGGGCTGCCCCGTATCTTGAGGAAAGCTGTCACTTGATTTTTTTAGCTTGTTCATGAAATACCCCAAGTAATAATCATCGGACAGTCCGGGAACCTGACTGGCCAATTGATCAAAAAGATTATTATATTCCTCTACGGTTCCCAACTGTTTGACCCCGAACAGTCGTTTGAATCGGCTTTCTTTGAACCGTGAATCAAATCGGGCCACCTCTGTAAATTTCTCCCAGGTCATGCTCGGTTTTTGTGCCTTCAACCAGGTCAACCCGTCCAAGGCAGCTCCTTCCATGGCTACCGTAACTGCTGTCACTTTCCTCTCAGGTAGGGTTTGATTAATTTCGAACTTTTGCTCAGCCCTAGCTATCCCCCTAATCGGTTCTTTTCTGTCGAACATGGGCAGCAAGGTTGGAGGAGTGCTGCGCGGAGGTCCGTCGTCGTGTGTTGCCGCTACGATGGTGGCACCGATGACTGTGTCTGATGGTGTCTCCGTCGTGATCGATGGCACATGGGCCTTGGTCAGCGCCGCAAGGGATGCAGCGATCTCATCCAGCTGCCTGCCGTTTGCTTCCAGGGTTTGCTTCATCTCTGACAAATGTTCACTGATAGATTTCGTCATTCTGGCGGGACGGGATCCGGCAGGTCGGACCAATTGATAAGAACAGAAAAAATAAAATCAACGGTATGAACCGTTGCCCGATAATCAACGATAAATAAATACCGTTGCCCAGAGCCAAAAGGCTAAACCAACTTTTATTCCAATATTGATTAAGAATGAAGCCTAACAAGGGGTTTAAATACCCATCTACTAACTCTTAAAGTAGGAAACAAAATCCTAGAGATCCTAATCAACTCCAACTAGGAAACAGAATAATAAAGATCCTAATCAACTTCAAATAGGAAAGAAATAATAGAAATCCTAACTAACTCCTAATAGGAAACAAATATTAGAAATCATAATTAACTCCTAATAGGAAACAAATCAGGAAAATTAAAAAGAATAATTATTAATTAAACAGCCCGTAACCAGCCCACGGAGGTAGGCTCAAGCCCGTCCCGCCTTCGGTAAACCCACGGGGGCTTCTTCCCCTCTTCTTCGAAACCCAGATTCTGCTTCATATCAAAGAAACTGCAGAATGCAAGGCAAAAAGCTTTTATAAGGAAGAAGGGGAAGCTAAGCTAAGTGCAGAGGCTCTTTGCAGGAAAGAGGCGAAAGACCGTGCTTGTCAATCAAAGAAGGGTATGCCTAAAATGAAGATGACTCATGCTCAATAGTTTGTAGTAGATCCATTTGGAGTTAAGTGTGTTCTCTGATTTCAAGCTAAATTGTCTTCAACGATTCTGTCCTCAGGGATTGAATTCACATAGTAAGGTGTCTTTCCTTCTTTAGTCATATGTTTTAATTCAATCTAGTATACGCAAACACGATAAAGTAATAAAATTTGTTCGGTGAAAATTATAACTTTATTTGTTATACTACGTATGAACTTGTAATGTGCGTATGTAATAATAATCCCTCCACCCTATCATCAATATATTTAATCTCCACTTTTAAAAATTTTTAAAAAAATCAGATTTTGAAAATTTGTAATTAATTGAATATAACTATATTAAAAAAATCTCATACACCAATAAATAAAATATGGTCCAAGTAGAGCAGGTAAATTTACTACGCATGTAAAATCCAACTTGTTGTAACTAAAAGTGAAACAAAAACAGTACTAAATAAATCTAAACACAAATATGAAAATTTTAAAATACTCACAAAAAATCCATGTGTCATAATTGCAGTCATTTAGTGCGACAACATAATTCGAAGAGAAAGAAGGGGGGGGGGGGGGGGAATCTGAGTTGAGAGAGGGATCAATTGGAGGTGCAGAGAGAAGAGATGTAAATGAGTAAGATAAATGACATTCTATTCTGAAAGATCATCATATAGAATGAGTAGCTTAAAATATTACTCCCTCCGTCCTGCTATGATTGTCCCATTTTACCATTTCGGTCTGTCCCACTAAGATTGTCCCATACCTTATTTGGTAAAGTTTGTGTGGTTCTAAATCATTCCTACTTTATTCTTACTTTATCAATTCAATATCAACCACATAAACCCACTTTTATTAATAACCGTGTCACCTTCTCTTGTCCCAAACATAGGGGGACGGAGGTAGTAATATAAAGTCCTCATATTTCACTGGTGTAAATATTTCATCACTCTCTTTCATGACCAGACAAATTGTCTGGATCGCATCGTCATTCATTATTTTTAGTTCACCATAATCATTGACATTTTTCATAATTGTGATCGTTTTTATAGGGGATCTACATGGTTATGAATCGTTTGGTCTCATATGTCCTTAAGTCCCAGACTTCTTTCATCATAAAAGATCAATCTTATGAGAGATGTAATTGAAATCTTAATATAGTACGGAGTAGTTTAGTAGTTCATATTTTACATAAATTAAATAGCAGATTGTAGATTGTGTTAGCTCATTAAGATTAAACAAGCTAAGCTTTGTCTCGGGAACTAAACAATTTAATAGTAGTATTTTATACGGAGTATATAATAACTTTTTCCATCATTTCTACTTTATTTTGTGCAGTTTCCTATTTATCAAACTAATTAATATTGTAACGGAATAAGCTAGCTATACTAGCCAACACTCGATATACATGATCAAGTTTGTGGTTTAAACGCAATTTCCTACCAACCAACAGCCACCCTTCTTTAATTTATCAAGATGTACTAGCAATATCTATATCATGATTTATTTCTCCTACCCTTATTATTCAGATGTACTAGAAAGTCTTTAATTTAGCAGGATGCCATTTCTCACTCTGCAAGAATGAATTAAAAGAACATTTCACTAATTTTATAGTTATGTTTTCTCTTTGTTCTACACATCACGACCATTGTAGAACTGATAATTTGCTTGTAAAATTGAATGGTGTCCATGACCTAATTAGTTAGCTACCTCTATTGAAGTATTTTTGTGCTTTCTTATAGTCAAGTAGTGTTAGAGACTTTGATAATCATGCCACTCGTCTCCTTGGTAACTATGAGGTACCAACTTTAAATTGTTTCTAAATCACCTTTCAATGATTCACATTCATTAATTGTTACTGAAGCCTGATTATTTGTTACTTTGACTTGGCACAGGCAATGTAGGTTATGTAGCAGTACTTGTTATGTTGGAAATGTAACAGTTCCTCTTCTCTGCATTAATGCGTTGGACGATCCAGTTTGTACAACAGAGGCAGTTCCATGGGATGAGTGCCGGTATTTACATTAGTTCTTGTGTAAACATTTTGTGAGATCATTAATGCAAACCTAGAGAACTATCTGCATGGGAAAATATATGGGAAAGGTAGAGGACTCAACAAACACAGCAGAAATTTTAGGTATATTAAGTAGGAATATAGAGAAATCTCAGAAGTTCCTTAGGCTATTACAACGGCGTGATAAGTAAAGTAACGTAAACAGAAAGAAGGAGACGAACAGAGACACTTCGAGAGGCCTCACTCTCCCAGCCCAATTCTAACTGAATTCCAGCCTACCCGTATTGCGCATTTCGTCCAGCCAGGATCTCATCTCCGCCGGCGAATATGCGAACGATTGTTGACGTTGTTTGACCTTTTCCTTGCCCTTATACATCGGCGGCAGAATTGACGTAGTTGACTCCGAATCTTAACTATTGAAATTGTCAAAACCGAAAAGAAATGCTTTTGTTTTCATCTTCATTCGACCTTTGTTTTCTAAGAACTCTAAATTCTTGAAAGACTGTGTCTTAGGAAATACCATCAGGCCTTCAATAGTGTTCCCTCCAACAACTTTCATCTTACCATCTGAGGTCCCAATAGCTAAGAGCTGTGGAATAGGGTAGAAAACCAGGATATAGGCAGTGGCTGGAATCCCATAGTGAATAGCTACTCTTGCCGGTAGCTTAGGAGCTTCCTGCAACTCTGCTTTAAAGAGGCAATCTCAGTACTTCCAACTGTCCATAGTTAACTAGAAGAGAGCCCACATCCTATGAAAACCTAGGGATCCAGAGTGGGAATAGCAACTATTGGTACCATCAGACTTGTTCAGCCATTCCTAGTGTTTGGTGATGTATTGTGTACACTATTCATACAAACAACCAATCCTAATTCATGAATTCTGTCAATTAAAGATTTAAAATCTTCTGGGTTTCGGTCTTGGGCACTAGCAACCTTCCGATCAGAATAGGTAAGGATATGTTGGAGAGACCGGCCCTCTTCCTCAGCCCCTGTGACATTATTGATCAGTTCTTAGGCAGCATTTTTTCCTTCCCAAAGCAGGGACGTGTGCACTAACTCTGCCAGATTCCCGGAATGAAACAATTTCAACTCATCAATAAAATGCCTTTGATGTTTGAACATATCGGAACCCTTGAGTCTCTTAGAAGCTACCACCCATTGGTATCGGTCATCATCTGATGGCTTTCTGTCCAAGGACTTTTTAGAATTTGGAAATAGCAGGGACACATTTTCATTTCCATGCTTGTCAATAATCAAGATACCGGTATTAATAAAGTTCTCAGGCACCAGATGATACACACACTTTGATAGAATTGACAGCGGATGAGGAAATCTTCCTTCCTGGGCGGATATGGCTTCCTTTGAAGGACATCTCCCGTTCATTTGGTGTCGCCTGCAAACTGATAATTTCTCCCCTGCATGTCGTCATACTAGGGCTCGCACGCGGATACAGCTGCCTAGGATCTTCTTCTCCTCTTTATCGTGTTGTGCTATGGTTCCCAAATGGAGATCGTCGCAAACTGGATTCCACTCCTGATAGCATCGCGCCTTGACACGAATTGACAGCGGATGAGGAAACCTGCAAACTGCAGGCTCACGCCGATTCACCGAAGCCTGAGAACTGGAAAAAGTTGCTTGCGACTAAGATGAAACCTGCGAACTCAGAGAATCTGATAGCAACAAAGCTGGCGACAGCAAACAAGGAGAAACAGCTAGGAGAATCTTAATTCTATTTTAGAATTTTTCCTTATTTAACTCTTACTTTGAGCAATGTCCTATAAATTTTTAGATATATATAGGAGTTTGGTTGTGGTTGAGGGGGCAGCTGCCCCACTGCCCCCATAGTGGATATGCCCCCATAGTTTAGTATCCATGTTACTGGCCCTCAAATTTTAGACTGTCTTTCTTTGCCGTTATCCAGCTCATGATCTTCTATGTTTTATGTTCTAACTTTTGATCCAAAATGAAATACGTAGTATAATTTTCATAAAAAACTAACTTTTGATCACTCTTTAACTATATAAAATTTTACATATATGATCTGTTAAACAGCTACAAACTGTTTTTCCCTCGATAGTTGGCACATTCTTGTACAACACCCTTATTTTTTAATAGGAGAATAAGAGTACTCTTCCGCCAAAACATTGTTGTTTCTAAAATATTGTTATTAATATATAATATTAAAATCAGCTAGACTAGTTTCTGCGTTACTGTTTGTACATATGCACATCCACTTTGGAGAGAGCAAAGTGGAGGGCGCACATCCGTGTGGACGATTGATATCTTCTCTATCTTTCTTCTTTCTTCCCTTTTATCGTTTATCTTCTTTATCCTTTTATATTCTAATGTTATTTTTATTTTCTAGCTTTTTATGCTTTTTTATCTTTCTATCGTTTATCTTTCTTATAATCTTATGTTATTGTTATCTTATATTTATTTATCTTTATTTTATCCGTTCTATCTTACTTTTTTCTCCTTCTTGTCTGTCTTCTCTATTTGGCATCGATATCATAGATCGATTCATGTTAGTCGATCCCGAATTCTTTTGAGATTAAGGCTTGGGTGTTGTTGTACACACATTTATGACACTAATGCAAGTACTATTATATACTCGTATAAAATGTGGAGTAAAAGGTGGGTCAGATCAGGCAGAAATTAGGATGCAATATTAAAATTCATTTTGGACCTACTACAGGTCAAAATTTTACGGTAGGCACTGATACTCAAGCGTTGGATTTGAAGTATAATCCCCAATGGTATATGCATATGTATTTTAGTGTTGTATATATGAAATAATAAATGCATCATAAGTTCATAGTTAACTACCAAGTACCTTGTGGTTTGATGACATCACAGTTGATCTCCCAAAAAGGAGCTCGCAGATTTGAGTCTCAACCCAATCAAGGATGTTGACATTAACAAGAGCCTATACTATAACAGGTTTAGAAGAATATTCCAAAAAAAACTGATGAAGCATCTGCTGCTATTCAAAAATAACATAATAATAAATGCTAATCGCATAATGTCTTTGTTTCTTTCCTTCATAAGTGGACTAGCCATTCTTCTTATTTTCGTGTAGCATTGAAACTAATTGACAGGTGGGTAAGGGCAGTTGATGAATACTTTGGAGCTTTGTACTCTAGTCCTTTTATCAAAGAAAGAGGTGCTCAGATCTATCTGATAGTGTTCTTTCATTTGATATATTTATCATTTTCAATAAATATTTTTAGCTTATATGTACAAATGTATTCAAATAAAAATATCTAAATGCATAAAAAAAATCCACAGGCATTAAATTCACGCAATCTTTTATGTGCTACCATGTGACTTCATCATGACACACCACCATGAAACATTCAACACCTTTTCAGTTCACTGTGAACCCATAGAAAAAAATGTCACACAATTTATGACTTTATGTATGCACAAATGGCACAATACAAAATCTCAGGAGGACGGTTGTAAAATAAGGTAATTAGCGGCTTGCTCCTGACAGTTTTGATTTAGAATTGGCTGATGCTTTTAGCACTTTGTAGAAAGTGTGCAGTATATTACTTGTTATAAAAATACTTAGGCTCTGTTTGCATCTGCTTTTCAAAAAGCACTTCTCTACTTTTGGCTTTAAAAAAGCACTTATTTTCCCAAACACTACAACTTTTATTTTTCTCGGCTTCCGCGTCAAAAGTGCTTTTACTTTTTCTATTACACAAAAAGCACTTATTTTACCAAATACTATCCACTTTTACTTTTCAAAATCACTTTTTTCTCAAACACTTTCAACTTTTATTTAATCACTTCTCTTCATTTCATTAAAAAAAGCACTTTTTCAAAAGCAGAAGCTGTTGCAAACAGACCCTTAAAATATACACACAGGATTATTACGGTAATATTACCAAAACATAGAGGATTTCTCATAATATGACTAAATAATGAGATTTCTCATAATATGACAAAAAACGGTTACCATATAAACATGACACCTTTTAAATATGCTTCTTAAAGGGATATAACCGTGCATCCATACCATTTCCTACTATTTAGGAAGAGTAAAAACTTCCTATTAATACTCATGCACGTATTAGTATTGGAAAAAAACTCAAGGACTCATACATTGGGAAATGATTGATGTTTTAGTCACATGAGAGATAATTTTCTCAAACTTGAAAACTTGAATAAAGAAATATATACCGAACGAGGCCAATGTATTTAGCTTGTTTGGCCCATGAACATTTAAATACTACCATGCTGTCAGCTGTCCTATTTTTTTTTTTTTCAAGAAAAGAAAGTTTATTAAAGGAAACAAAGATAGTACAAGTGGAAAAGGAAAAAAGAACAAAAGGAAAGCAACAAGAAGATATAAAACCCAACCCCAAGTACACAAAGCCCCACCCGAGGTGCCGTAATTCCCTAAGCCTAGAATGAATAGATAACCTCAGCGCTGTCAGCTGTCCTATATATTGCCATATTATTAACTGTGATTGATGTTTAATTGATATTTGTTGTAGGCACACAAGATGCCACCACATCGACTAGCCTCATTGAATCTTCAATTGATCAAGCTCCTTATGTGAGATTGATAGATGATGGAATGGTGACTGCAGTTGCTGATGAGCCACCACCAAGAAATGATGTAGGAGGACAGCCGACTGAACACTTAATCAAAGAACATGACACACATGGTGAACCATCTTTACAGTGTGATGACAAAATGATGCCACCGGAAGAAGCAAATGTGAGTATCACTGCCGAGTTTGCTGAACCCAATGAGAACGACACTGTAAAGTTGTTTCTGGTTTGGAAATGCTTAAATCAGATGTCAAGGCGGAGCAGGGCTTTGATTTGGCTTCTTGCCTATGTTGCAATGGTCACAACTCTTCCCGTTCTGGCTCCTCCATTCCGGCTGCTGCTTGGTAAAAGGTTAAGACGCCTCCTTTCGCTCAGACAATAACATGGTTGAATATCTCCCTAAGAGGGTGGTTATTGCAGCTTTGAAGGAGAGCTAAAACCATATCCAATAAAACCGACCTTTTCATCACCATATGTTTTGAACTGTTCTCCTTGGCGCACATAAATACCAGACGCCTTTATAAAGTCATGAATATAATATAATAACAAGTTATTATCCAGCGTGGTATTGTAAGAAAGTGGTGTTAAAAATCTGAGGGTGCGGACTTTGTAAGAAAGTGGTGTAAAAAATTCAAGAACTTAGTTATTATCCCATGTTCCAAAATTAAAATTAAAGAAGTTATAAAGAGACGCTTTCCTTGATTTTAATGAAATTGATATTTATCTTTTCGTGGCCTTTCTGAATATATGCTTAGGCAAGTCTTAGTTCTGATTTCTGAACTGAAATGAGACCAAGAGCTAGGGATGGCAACGGGGCGGGCGGTTCGGGGACGGGTATACCATTACCCGTACCTGCCCCGTTTGATAAAAAAATCCCTGAAACCGCCCCGTTACCCGTCGGGTATTTTTTACCCGCGGGTAACGGTTTTCCCCGCGGGTAACCGTTTTATTAAAAAATACTCCCTCCGTCCCAATATAAAAGGCACATTTGCGTTTGGGGACTTTTTAAGGGTGAACACTGTTTGAACACTGTTTGGACACTGTTTGGCACTGTTTGACACTGTTTTGTTTGCCAAAAAGGGAAATGTGCCTTTTATATTGGGACGGACCGAAAAGGAAAGTGTGCCTTTTATATTGGGACAGATGAAGTAATTTTTTCCCTTCAAAATTAGTATAAATCCTAGAATGATGATTAACTACTTATCATTAACCACCTAAATTAAAAAAATTAAATAGTACCACAGATAGAGTTAAATAGAGTTAAAAAAACAAAATTAAATAGTACCACAAAATCATAATTTAAAATTTAAAGCTTGATATAATTTATAGCAACCAATCACAATTAATTTAATCATCCATACACCTCTACAAAATTATTAGCAATTACATAAATTAAAGAAAGGTTGAGTAATCTAAAATATTTGGACTTTAAACTCATACGTGATTTTTATGAAAGTTATTGGGTGAAAAATTAAAAGAGTCACAATGTGAAAATTGCGTAGAGAAAATCACGAAAATCAAATAATCAATGTGTGAAGAAAATAAATCTTGTAGAAGTTAACAAGGGAAGGATGATGAATGATATTGAAAATTCAAAATCTAAAATCGTGAACTTTGAGCACCAACTCCTCATAATTGCAAAGGATAGCCAATAAGTTGAATATTGTTTTAAAGTATTAGAGGGAATAAGTGTCATATACTAATGTACTACTACTCATATATACTTAATATATTAAATAATAAATACATAAACTATTAAAATATACTCCGTATAAGTTAATTGTGCGGGTCGGGCAATGGTGCGGGTAACTGTATCCAAATTAAACGGGGCGGGTAACGGGGCGGGTAACGGGGCGGGTAGGTATAAACCCATAACCACCCCATTACCCGTTTACATAAATCGGGTATTCCCCGCCCCGTACCCGTTACCCAGTCAATGCAGTTTTCCCCATTTTGACCGATTCGGTTCAGTGCGGGTATCCGTCGGGTCGGGCTAAATTGCCATCCCTACCAAGAGCGCCCTAATATTCGTAATTTCGTACTATGATATTTAACGTTTGAAAATTTTAAACAGTTTTGAAACCTGATCTAGGATAATATACATAATCAAATTCTATTTAAAGTTTAATGTAGTATGGATTCTCGTAGTTTTGATGATTTTCAGCAAGTTATTATCTACTTTCTTACTTGGAAATATTACCAACTAACACGGCTATATTACTAACCGAGTTATTTGACTTTAAGGAGTGAAAATTAATTGAAAATAGAAGGCACTTCAATAGTTCCATCTTATTGACTCAATGCGTTTTTTTTATGAAACTCTTAAAATAAATAAAATTCAAATTGGTTTTTTGGTTTGTGTGTGACGGATGTGAGCAATTTCAATTGCAATTATAATTTCAATTTGAATTTTTTAAATGAAGCAATAGAATCTTAATAAAATGAGTGTTTCGTCAAGAATTATATCACCCTTCAACTTTCAACATGACTATCTCTTCATGCAGGTTGCAGCATGCACTTTAGTTCCATACTTCCATCTATCATTTCACTTTCTAGTCCAATCGTCAATTTCCTCTCATATAAGTGTGCGCACCATCATTCTTAATCGAGCAAAATACATTAAGTTTTGTGAGAGGAGTAATATAAAAATGGGCACACATAAAATAACGTAAATTGGAAATATTGAAATAATGAATGACAAATCCGATCAAAGGGGGGAAACAAATGAGGAAGATTTGAGTAAAAATCTTAAATGTTTAAACTTTTAATTTGAAGGCGAAGGAATTGAATTTATTAAAGATGGAAATTTTAAATTTTGGGGCATTTTCTAAAATAGTACTAATTGAAAAATTCATGGACAAAAACGAGATTAAAGTTATTATCATGAGGTTTTAGAGTTAGTGTGATGTAAATTTTGAAGTAAGTTATGGTCAAAATAAAATAAAATTTGAACACAATCAATAAATCAACTTTTTATCCATCATTTTTGCTGCTACAATTTGTCCGTGTTACTAATTTTAATGCTCAAATCTTTACTTCAAATAAAATCTATTAATTAATTTAATATGTAGTATATAATAGCAAAAGGAATCTTTTTGAGGAAGATCCCGCCAAAAAGAGTTCAGCGTAGGAATATGCAGCCTTAATGACGTAATTACTGTTCTTGAGAATCTCAAATGTAGTTTTTGTTAGGGCATCCTCATTCATAGGATTATTTGAGGATAAGTTGTGTGGGGGATTGTTTTGGAATCATGATTGAGTGATGAAAATTATTCAAAATAATCCGGGATTGAAATATGAGTCCGGATTATTTCCCCTTTTCCTTTGATAAGTACTCTCTCCGTCCCATAAAACAGTTATCGCATTGACTTAAATCGCAGTTTAAGAACGTGAGAATAAAGTGGAAATGTATTGTTGTTGTTGTGTAAGAAAAAAGTAATTGAATGTGAGTCACAAAAAACTTGCCAAAAGGGTAAATAGGACCTTATAGTTTATTGTATGATTTCCTATCATTATTTTTTGGGACGGCTAAAAAAGAAAATCGGAAACGGGACGGAAGAAGTATATTTTACCCCAGTGAAGGTGTGAAGCCTTTGCAACAATGTGGTAATGATGATATTAGTATCATTTTGTCGGATCAGTCTAACACTCTAACCAAGATCAAATTAGACCAAAATTGATCAAATTTAGATTATAGTGGAATACACATCAAACCTTTATTAAACTCGACTAGTTCAAGTAAGAGTACACTTAGACAAATTAGACCAGAAAATTTTAGTTTTAAAAAAACATCCAGGGAAATCAAAATTAGTAACTAGTGTCCATCCCTACTCGAAGTCAATCCAATACTCTCAGTCTCTGACTCTCTCAGTAGTGATTGAGCGATGAATAAAATAAAATGCCAACATGAAATTGTTGCTAAAACCTGTTTCGGATTTAGCTTTGCACAAGCTGAACATTGAAATTTAAAGCAAACTGATATATCATTATATCCAAACACACTCCCACAGCGCAGCACATTATCTAGCTGCATATGCATGCGTTTTTCCTTCTATATTTGTCAAATTCCTGAACAACTAAAAAAGAAAGGGGTGCTGTTAACAGAGCCTAGTGCGTAATTATTTCTAACAGAAATAAGAGACTAACAAAACAAGTCTAATCAACGCTCTTAAGACTGCCTGTAACAAACAAAGAAGGTACAAAATCAATGAAGACAGTTCAGCTTAAAATCACTCGTGTAGAACACACTCAATTGACGGGCATCTACTACAAACTAATGAGCACGGGTCATCTTCATTTTAGGCATGCCCTTCTTCAATTGACGGGCACGGTCTTTCGCCTCTTTCCTGCGAAGAGCCTCAGCACTTAGCTTAGCTTCCCCCTCTTCCAACTTCTTTTTCTGATCAGCCTTCTTCCTCTGCAAAGCTTCTTGCCTTGCATTTTGAAGTTCCTTGTAGAACTCTTGCGCTACCTTGAGACGTGCTGCATCCGCTTTTGAACGAGCCTGATTTAATTTCCACATATATTAAAAGCAGATTGTAACAGTGATACAAAAAATATAATAGTACGGTTCTGTTTGTCAGTCATACTCTCTTATTTGCTGCCCTGCAAAATACATAGCTTTTGACTTACTTGGCTGAAATGGTTTTGACTAAATGCTTTTCAATTTACAGAATCCCTCAATTTCAGCCAAATAACACATACAAATGGGTGCTAACATTTGCTATTTGGAGTTTAAAAAGCTCTGATGTAAATCTTACATGTGAGCTAAGCTTGTATTTTCCGATCAAGTCAATGTAATAAGGGACAAGGGCGATCAGGCGGGTCATGTCAGACATGTCAGTAGCATTGGGAAGCGCAAACTTGAAAACCAACATCTTCTTGTGTGAGCCTATGTGTTGATCTGAGAAGTGCATTGAGATGAATCCCTTTCCAAATTTCTCGAATGCCTTTTCGCCAAATACCTGCATGACGAGAGCACAATAAAAGGACAATTGGTAATAGATTATAGTAGCTAATGGAGTGTTATCTTCTCCAAAACACTAATCATGGTCAAATTTAAGAGTCTAACTACCATCATCTAGTGGGTATTGACTGTAATACTTTCTAAGCTTCTAATTTATAACAGGCTTTGGGATCACAATACATTTGTGGCTCTGTTTGGTAGCCCTGAGTAGCTTTTGACTTATTTAGCTAATTAACTGAAATGGTTCGACTATCAAGCACTTTCCCTTTTATAAAACTCGGCAGTTTCAGCAATTTAAAACACTCACTAAACACTCTTTATCTTTTACAGTAAACCTGTGCAATGATCTACTACATCAATCTCCACTACTCCACCTACTATTGGTGCATAACACATGAGTTGCAATTATTTCCTGTAGTACTTCACATGTACCTTTACAACCGCCAACAGAAGATGTGTTACCAGATTAGTGATCATTTGATCACAAAAAGGTTTTTAAGCAACAAAAGAATTAGCAAGACATTCAGTAAGTATCTTAAACTGGTGCAGATTATATGCATAGCACAACTTCAAGCCTAAACAAAGAGTATACAAGACATTAAAAGCCAAATAGTTGCAGTTAAACATACCTGCTCAAGAACGACCTCTGGAATCATATCACCAGCAACCTCCTTAGACTCAGAAATCACAGCCAACTCCTCCACGAGCCACTTCCTC